GAATCATTTATGAACATACGATCCGTGCGAGACAAAATCTTCGTATATACCAAAAATATTCTTTATTATACACATACTTGACAATGCCTTTTATTTCGAATAATATTCATCGTAAATGACATATCAATCTAGGTTCTCCAAACCGATCTATACCGATGAGAAATCACTGATCCAAAGTGATCTGACAGATAGGTAGATTTCCTATTTCACATAACCGTTGTGAACTTTTATGGGGGTGGGAGGCTTTTAGCTGTTGCTTATGAATGCCGCCACCACGCGCAGCACCTGGTGCATTCAAACAACCGAGAAGCGAGTCACTTGAACTGCGTTCCCAATACATTTCAACCTTTTTCCCTGACAATGACATTAATATATTGATCGCTCTAAAGAAATGGGTAAGCGTTTTCCCACCAGTAGCATCAAGATTTTATTCGTTAATGGATAATTGTATGCCAACCACTAGCATCGCAATATTGATCGCTCTAAACAGACGGGTAATCTTTTTTTATTGTGAAAATCTATGGAAGCTCGGGGTAGCCTATCACCAAAGTTGGAGCAGTTAGTCTAGGGTCCGAATCCCGCTGCTGTTTCAATTTTGCTTTGTCCAGAATCGGCACGGGCCAAACATGGCCTAATCTTCAACGCTCATGCCACTATATTGTCAAATTTTTCTTCACTAGGCTTGTAATCATAAATCCAGTCAATAATTTCTCAGGGGATTATTTTAACAACGGTTCGTTTAATATCAAGGAGGCCGTAGACGGTCAATTATTTTGACCAAAGCTTGAGTCAATCGATTACGCAATTTAAACGTTTGACGCTTCAGGTGGGACTTGATGGTAATAGATAGGAAGTTTGGTTGATAGAATTGAATGATAGAAAGATACGAGTGTTCTTAGGAAAAGGAAGGCCAAATCCGTAATCGGAACCATTACTCAGCTCCAAAATATCCACTATAGTTAACGAACAAGTGCGCATTGTTCATATTTCTGATGAGAAGAAGGTTTTGATCAAAAGATTGCAGGTCTGTTTGAGAATTATTGAGGTGCTCGTCAATCAATTGGCTTGATCGTTTAAGGAGACCTTACACGGCAAAATTTTGGATTTTGTCTTTTCCGGGTTTTTAGTCTCATCTTAAAGCTGACATTCTGACCTATCCAACGGTACCAAAACCATCTCTGTACGTTGATTTTTGCATTCATAACAGATCCCAAAAAGGGGACGGGTGTCCGGCCCCCTCAGTAAAGTCAAGGGAGTAATTACACGGCCGTTCACTACAAAGTAAATCGTCTGACGTAAAGCGGCCAATTATGACATTCTCCAGTTACTATACTCATCTTAAAGCTGCTTTTCTGACGCATTCAACGGTACCAAAATCATTTCTGTACGTTGATTTATATCTTCACTACAGATCCGAAAAGGAAGGTAAGGTGGGGGCTTTTAAATAATTCCCTATGGAAGTAATTAGCTACCAAACACTTGAAATACAGCGTCTACACGAACACGAACTTACGAAGTGCACCTCAGTTACCTAGTAGACAGCATACGGGGAGGTGTGCTAGCAGTCGCTCCCACCATACTTGAGTGGAATTGAGCTCCAGTAACGTTTAGTTTCGGATCCTTGCTACATTTAGTGCCTATGCGGATGATGCCGCGACTTTGTCGGGCTGTACTATACATTCACACTTATTGTCACGGAAAACTTTATAACTCCTAGAGTTTTAAAGCTACAGCAATGAGAGATACACCATTCGATTCGAAATTAAAATATCTAGAGATTGTCGGGCTACTTTTTTCGATTTCGTTATAGTTTTGAAAATATTTTGAAAAAAGGGGGGGAAATATGGGTATATTTTGAAAAATTCGATTTTTTTCCCAAAAATCGTCATAAAAAGAGAACCAAGAAAAAAATTGAAAAGTGGAACGAGAATCGCTAGATATGGTCTTTACGCATCGAATGATACGTGTCTCGATGTTGTAGCATGTGATTTGCAACAGTTAAAACTTTTTTTGCGTACCCCCCTTTTTGGCCGTTTTCTATGAATTTCACGTTTTCTTTCACTTTTTCAAAAATTTCACATGAACAAAATAGTCTTAGAATTCTGTTACATAGAAATAGAATTCTTAGTCATAAGACATAATCTTAGAATTCTTAGAATTACATATGTGTACCAAGTTTGGAGACGATCCTTCCATAAATATAGAAAATAGATATTTGACCGATAAGGTCCCCTTAATCAAGCCGACTGATCGTTTAGGGTCCTCAAGTTTCGAAAATAGAAAGATTTATGAACATATTCAAGTTAATAATGATTGGTTGTATGATTGTTTATTTGACCTTCTATACAGGCCTCATTGTATTGAATTTGTCGGCATTTTGTTTGAAAAAAAATATTAATAAACAGAAATATTAGGATACGTACTAGTAATATTTAAGAGAGGCTGAAGCCGCCTAGAACAAGCTAATACGCCATTGACGGATGGGTATCAAAATTAACTCCAGTACTGGCATCGTATTACAACTATATATTAGGAAAATATATACACACGAACACAGACTAATATTGCAGAATTTTCGAAATTTATTAAGAAGCGGTCATTTTACTGTGCATGCATCAATTTAAGTTGCTTTCCATCTATCTTGAAGGTTCAATTAAAGGCTTTGAAGAATTCGCTACAAACCTACAATACACGACTAATTTCATTCACATTCTTCATAATTGAATGTATCCTCAAGGCAGAAGCTTAAGAAAATAATATAATAAATTGTCGACACTGAAGAAATTGGCCCATGGCCTGTTGCCGATTCTCTTACTTTTCGTGACTTGATTCCACAAAGGATCCGGCCTTCTGAACCCGATCTTTCCATAATTGACGATTGTTTGAGATAGCTGCTGGACTTATTGCCAGGTCTGTAAGGTGCTAGGCATTTCTAGACTGCCCATATGTTCCTGCATAGCTTCGTCTAGTCTGTTCTCGAAGGCGTCCATACTCGGAGCGTCAACGATGCTGTCACGGAGGCTCACCATGTCGGTGACTCGAAGCGAGAAGAAATGTTGTCGCATGGATGTGTTACAACGCAGTTTTTTTAGTTTATAGCCGTGGTCACTGATGTTGGTTCTTGTTTCAGATTCCAGGACTCATTCTGGGACCTTGTATAAACCGTGGGTATACTTGTATACTTCAATGAGGTCACCACGCAAACGTCGATAACAGAGGCTTGGAAGCTTCATAATCTTTAATCTTTCTTCATAAGGCTTGCCTTTTAATCCCGGAATTATCCTTGTTGCACGTCTTTGAACACTCTCTATTAAATTTTTGTCCTTTTCTATTTTTGGTGACCCCACGGCATTTCCAAACTCTGGGTTCGGGCGTACGACAGCGATAAACAACATCTTAATCGCTTCTGCATAAGTCGTTTATTGGCATTATTAACTTGAGCTTCAATATGCTTAGAAAATTTCAACTCATTATCGACATTAACTCCCAAGTCTTTTTCCATTGTCGACATGATTGCATCGACAGAGTAATAATGTAGACATCATCACTCTGTCGATGCAATCATGTCTCCTCATACTGTAATCTTGCTGTTCATTATTCCTGCCGAGGTGGATTACTTTACATTTGTCAGCATTAAAACGCAGCTGCCACTTTTCAGCCCAGTCCACTAGCCTGTCAAGATCACCTTGCAACTGTCATTTTTTTGGAACGCATTTTTCACTGTATTATAAACTTTTGTGCCGTCAGCATACATCGAGCACACGCTTGACACAGCTTCAAGCAGATCGTTTTAAACGCAACGAATAAAACAGGCCCGAGAACGCTTCCTTGTGGCACGCCGCTGCGCACTGAAGCCCTGTTTGATACGGTCCCATTAATACTGATACGTTGTCGTCTCCCTACTAGAAAAACTCTGATCCATTTGAGTGCATTACTCTCAATTCCCAAAGACTTCGATTTACGCAACAGCCGCTCCTGTGGGACACTGTCAAATGCCTTGGCAAAATCGAGGTACACTGCATCTACTGGCTCCTTTTCGTCCAGCAGGCGGGTCCATTCATTCAAAGTAGACAAGAGGTTAGTGGTGCAGAATCTACCGGCAATAAAGCCATGTTGACAGTCTGATAGGAGATTATTAACAGTCAAGTGAGCGATCAATCAATCTCTCACAACAGATTCCATTACCTTGCAAACGGTAGTAGCAGGCATCTTTACGGTAGTAGTGATGTTGATAGGGAAATGTTGATTCGAGATCATGAGTGCACATCATTCGAACGTCACCACAGACAAACAAATTATATTTATGGTTAACTTTCTTCTGGAGGTTGATTGTAACGTGGGAAATTTTTATCCTACCCATAGCGAATACGGATTCGATTTAAGGAAATAACTAGGCACGCTGCCAGTTCAATGCATTTGATCGTGATACATCGATGTGAGAAACGTCCATGACAAGTTTTAACCAATATGAAATTCATCATAGAGCTCAAGTGGGTTTGCCCATTCCTTTTATGGGCAGAGTGGCCCATTGCTTACAGTTTAGAACACCGAAATTGGACGAAGAGAAAGCTCTGTGCGCCAATTTCTGGTCCGAATGAGCAAGGAGACTGGGCGGTTGGGCAAAGCAGAATTTGAGCATTGAGTTAACAGTTAGAGACCGCAACAAGCTGTGAATGTTCAGCGATATCAAGAAGCATCGGCGACAGCCTACGGCCTAATAAAGCTGCAACTATTATTAATAATGTAATTATACCGTAAAATTCATCATATTACTGCTTGCTATGATATAGAATTCTTCCCTAATCGTTTTCTGCCTGAATAGCGGCTAAGTTTCCTGCAGTTATCAGATGAATTGAAGATATCGCCAAGCCTAATGCATGGCAAGCTTTAATATAAATCATACGTAGAAATAAATTACGTTCTCTTTTATCTAGTAAGATGATCCGTTCTTCAGTAGAGAATATCGATACGCGCGTTCATTTGGGAATGAAGTTCCTTCGTTTTAAAAGTCTTTATTCAAACATATATATTTATACTTATAACAGCATTAATTTCACTCAAATAACAGGACCTGCATGATAACACACAATAATGCTGTCAGATAATAATTTCATGGAATGCAATAAAAAGGAATACATATATTAACAATACGTATCCATACATACACATTAGCACAACGTACAACTATGGCGACAAGTAGGAGAAGAATGTTTGTGCGCTCAGGAACCCAGAGGGAAATAAAGAATATGGAAAAATAAGTGTGTTAGTACAGCATCGAGTACTTCCATACCAGTAGGCTTTCAATGCACATAACTTTTATCACAGCCATTAAACAATGTTTTTTTAAATAAAAATGCGATTCAACATACATATGCTATTCATAAAATCATGGGTAATTTACCGAGATGAAACATAAATGAATAGTACTCATCAGTAATTCTACAAGATATAAATTTATCATTACAATTTAAGCACAATGTTAATGGAAGACATGAAGCTCCAATAACAACTACGAGAAACAAACTTAACCAAGTCAGGATTTCATGCAACAATCATAATTTGCAATCATCATAATTAAATTACAACTAAAAATTTTATTTAGTCATTTATTTGAAATTTTTCATTTAAACTTTGCTATATATGGAAGAAGGATTAATATGCATATAATTAAAAAACAGGGATACAATAATATTCAGGATACATGTATATATTTGTTTCTAATACTGGCAAATAAATTCTTGAGTAAATTGAGTATCAATCAAAGTTATGACAGGAATTTTTTTAATAATATTCATTAACAAACTCAAAAAACTATTGCAAGATGAGAACATTTTAAAATTGTAGTTGAGATAAATTTACTTAAGGAAATATTGTATAAATATTTGAGCGATAATTTTAGTATCTATTGTAATCAAAATGTGTGATAATCAGATCAAGATTGTAAGGATTTCATGATCCTGCGAGCCTCATTAAGCTGCTGTATCAAGACATGTACATCTACAGTGGTGAGGTGCACTGTGGTCCTGGTGCGAGGTCCTGTGTTCAGATGCACTGTAGCAACGTCATCAGCTGCTTGGAATGACAGCACAGCTATGGGCTCTATTTCACCAGCAACTTCCACACCCTTCACAGTTACTGATGATCTGCAGGTAGCAATTACTTATGTCATCAATCTTAAAATTAATCAAACCTGACAAGTCCTAACCAAAAAAAAATTGCTTGCCAATAACCATATGGAAAAGATTCTGTTGCATCTTTGAACAATAAATATATTACACATAAGAAATCCCTAGCTTCATGACATACCTAAAATTTGGCATCTCTATCTGATATTTTAGAATGTTGCTGAACATAACATAAATTTTGTAGAAAATGGATTCTTTAATACATTTTGATTTGTAATCTAAATGTATTTTCACAAACAGATTGGATCCATCAATTTATCTGTTCTTCAAGTGATACCGTTACAAGAAAAAAAACAAGCTATCATGCTCTCGATTCTAGACTTAATTCTGACAAGAAAAAGCATCCATGGAGAGCTCAAATCTTTCTCATCTAGGAACAGCCTACATAGTTTATAGTGGCCCAGAAATGTTTACAAAATTCCAGAAAAGTTCAAAGCAACAACAGTGCTTGCAGAACTATACACATCCAGTTTCCTGATTAATACAATTATGAAGGTAGGAATAAAAGCCAACATCATACTCAAGCACAAACAAGGAGGATGCCAACTTTATCATAAGAAAATTAAGAAATATTTGATATCTTTAGCTGGTCTAGCATTATTCTGGCATGCCAGAATAATGTTCTACAGGAAACATAAAAAAAATTAAACCAGTCCAAAATTGCTCTCAAAGATTGACTCTTTTCAGTTAATTTGAAACAGAAAAAATTATTGTATGCACGAATATTGTTTTGCTGTGCTATAAATAAACAAGTCCAGACCTGAAATTTCGACTACAGCAATTGATGCGCTCTCTCAATCTCAGTTTTGTTAAGATGGTGGCTTGCTTCTCCTCATAAACTTTGATGAAAGCAGCTGCATGCTCAACAGAGAGACCAAGCTGCTGAAGCTCTGCATCCAGCACAGGACAGGAAACTTCAGCCCCAACAGCACTAAGCAAGATGTACCTGGAATTAAGAAAGCAAAAGTTCATCATGTCTAACCAGGAAAATTTTTTTAGAAATATTTCAAAATTCACAAAGTAAAATTAAGTGAGGAAGCACTAAGCAGTAGAGATAATTTTCAATTTATCAGTGAATGCTGAATTATACTGTTACATCAAGTGCAAGCAATCATCTCACCTTATTCCTCCCACTCGGGCATCAGCAGCAAGAGATGAAGCATTGGTGTTGTCTTGACCAGTATATTTAACTACTTTTTCAGGATCTAGTGGCTCTCCCAATATTGTATCAGCAACGTGAGCAACAAGAAGTTGTAGTTTGGTAGATGTTAATGTAGAAAGAGCTGCTATCTCAGCAAGTAGCCAGTCTGGGCAATCAGTTCCCCAACAAAATTGAAACTTCATGATTACCAAATCCCAATGAAACAGCTGGAATAACTCCCAAAGAAACCACTGGAGTAAGACAAAGGTGTTATTAAGAAGGCACCTGCAAAAATTATATAAAAGATCATTGAAATGCAATATTTTTGATGGAACAGCTAGTGATGCAGAAAAAGTCAACATACAATAAAAGAGAGTGTGAATAGAAAGAACAAGCCTATAGTAAAAGTATTTTCATTTTAAATAATGCGGACTTTTAAGAGTCCGTGAGGAACGCTTGCTTGTGAGAATAATATGTGACTGCCTCGCCCACGCGGCAGTCAAGACAATACAGCCTTTGTTTTCTTGTCCAAGCCTACCCCTTCCCTGAACACCCAAGCTGCTGAGATTGCCGCTCTCTGAAAGCTGCTTACTCTCACAACTGTAACAGAATTTTTTACAGCACTTTGGTAATTTGTACAATTTTTACTCAACTTAATTTTTGGTTTTTAACTTGTATTTATTTAGCTCTTGCATTTCAAGATGGCTGGTCAGAGAGGAAAAAGATTAGGTAATTGAAAAGGCCTCCAGTCCTGTTAAACTGAATGTGAAGACCAAATTGCAGAATGAGCAAGGGAAATTTGTAAATTTTGCAAGCTGGTTTTGCCTAACGTCAATGATGCTACAGCAGCCTGTGATCGTTGTGGGGATTTCATCTGCAACAATTATGCAAAGTTGAGCAAGACAGACTGCTCGCTAATGAGCAAGACAGACTGCCAACAACCAGCACTTAGCACTGTAAAAAGCACAAAGATGGTGTAAGAGAATGTTCTTCTATGTTTTCTGTCTTTAAGGCCAAAATGGAAGAAACCAACAAGCAAGAGTTGAGAAAGAAAGTCAAAATGGAGAACCACAAACAGAATTGTGCTTGTTGCATACTAGCGAATTACTTATTACAAAACGAGCTGGAGGAAATGAAAGCTCATCTGCACAAAACAGAAAATAGCAATAACAGAGAAGGTAGAGGCCACAAAGAGATCATCTCTGATCTCACTAGCAAGAGCACTAGTGAACTGCTGGATTGAGAGAGAAGATGACTTAACCTTGTTTGGTTTAACAATCCTGAAAGCAATGCTTTGGATGCTGAATTTATTACTAATTGCTGTGCCAAGGCACTTAATGTCATTGAGAATATAACGGCAAGCAAGAGGCTGCAATCGAAAGACACTACCACCTGTAGACTGCTGCTGGTGACTGTGCAGGATACAGCCTTGGTTGGAAATGTGCTTAAGGCTGCAAGAAAACTAAGTGAACTCCCAGAGTTTAATTCAGTCTTTGTTAAGAAGGATGCTACCCCTTTAGAAAGAGCAAATTTTTGCAAGAAATGGCAGGAGAGACACAGGCAGAAAAACACTGAGACTCAGGTCAACCACTCTTACAATGTCAAGATAACACCGGCCACACACGGTCATACAGCGGAGCTGGAAGACAAGTAAGAAGTTATGTCCAAAGATCCAGGCCTGTAAATAATATAAGAAGTAAACGCATGCATCAAAGTAAAAGTGCACAAAAAGTTTTTAAATGTTTTTACACAAACTCGGATTCCGTTTTGAACGAAAAAGTTAACTGTTAACTGTGATCAAAAACTAGTGCATAGACATTATTTACAGAAACCAGGGTTGGTGATTTTTTTTATTATTTTTTTTAAATAAAAGAAATAATAAATCTATGTTTTTTTATTTTTTATTTATTTGATTTTTTTTTTTTTATTTTTTCAGCTTTTGTGTCTTTTTGAAATGTTATTTTTTATGTTGCAATTAGCCTACTAACAATAACAGTATATGGATGGCTAAAAAAGGCAGTTATTGCCTTCAAGAATGGCCAAGGTGGTGTTTACCACTTGTGGACTTTTGGGTAAACAATTATTGATAAGCCTATTCATTAGCTATGTAAAGTTGGTATGGAGCAAGGTAGTGAGTTAAATATTGACCATTTAACTGGCTTCAATATACTACAACACTTCAGGAATGTGGATCTTCTAAACATTGGAGAGTCACATAACAGATAGGTAGCTGATAGCACAGTGCACAACACTATCAATAGATCTATTAGTTTTATATCCTATAAATCTGCCAGACTCTACCCTCTACACACACTGACTAGTAGTGACTGAGTGACTGACTGCACTGTTCCCATTTCATTACGACCAATAAACCAATACTAAATATAAACTGAATGACAACCAAACAAACTTCAAATGACTGGAAACAAAACTTATGTTATGAGAAAAACTAACGCTACTGGTATTTGAAATAAACGTGTACACAATTCAAACATTTTATTTCCATTCCCTGCATTTAATGATTTTATATATAGTTTTATACTTGTAACTGTTTTATTTCTAGTTATAAATTCACATATTCAAAGATTGAAACTAAATATTTTAATTAGAATACTCATATTAGGGTGGAAAATCTTTCTAGATACTTAAAAGGTCAATACAATCTCAAACAATTCTTCTTATAAGCTAGCTAACACATGTAAATCGTATAATGTAATTAATATCTAACAAACAGTCAAATAGTTAAAGACTACTTATAGCCTTATAAGAATTAGCTAAGCTGCTAGCTATGTTATATGTACAATGTATAGCAACATTGCAACACTTGATGCCTCTGTACCAAAAACATACAATTCATTGGAACGTAATACACACTAAAGGCAACAGGTTTATATTCTGATTTGTCACAGTACATTTATATTAAGCCATGAATAACAATACCTCAAAATAAATGAAAGACTGCCACTCAGTATATTTAAATGTATAAAAAATCAAAAAGTAAAAAAAAATTGTGATTTTTTATAAAAAACTGCCACTCAATATATTTAAATGTATAAAAAATCAAAAAGTTAAAAAAAATTGTGATATTTTATAAAAAATCCAGTGATTTAATCAGTTTGATTTATTCATTGCCAACCCTGACAGAAACACTCCCTAAAAATCACAGGGAAAAAATTGTAGGTACCTGTTGAATTTCAGTTGCCAGGTTTTGACTGTTTTCACAACTTAAATGAAGAGCAGTGCAAAAGAGGTGTAGCTTTGTGGGTTAGAACCTCTTATAGGGCCCAGCAAATCAAGTTATCTGCAGAGCATCAATCAGCTAGAGAATCAGTGTGATACAAATTTTCCCTCAAAGGCAAAGATAGCCTCATCATAGGCATCATGTATATATCACCAAACAGTTCCTCTGATAACAATAAAGTACTAAACAGTCTTTTACCAAGCATGACTTTCCGTATGTCACACACGTTGATTGTTGATAATTTTAATCATCCAGAGCTAGACTGGACACATGGATCCTCTCCAAGGGAAGAGAATCACCCAGCATCCTTGTTCATGGAGTCTGTGAGAGACTCCTTCCTAGTCCAGCACGTTACCAAGCCAACCCATTATAGAAGCAAAGAGACTTCCAATATTCTAGACCTGGTGTTTATTGGTGATGATTCAATGCTAGATGAGCTTCATCACGAGGCTCCATTGGGCAAAAGCCATCACCAATCATTGTTTTCCAGTCACAGGGTGCATACTGATATTGAGAAAAAAAATTCCAGGACTTTTCCAGGACTTGTATACGACAGGTTTGGCATGACTGAAAGAGTAATCATGCATATTCTATAATCTCCTAAAGTTGATAACTAGCAAACGTATAAATGCATAGAGCGGGCAGACACAGAGGATCAAAAATGAAACAAATCTGGAAATCAAGCCCACACTTTTATTATTGTGAATTCAATAGTGTCAAATCACATCAAATATTGAGTAATGCACACAATATTGCACATGATGTCAATACAGTTCAGAACACGATTCAGCACCACTACCTCGACATTCAACTGGCAGCTATTTCATCAACTTTTTCTTTAATGTTCAGTTCAATAGTGTCTAGCTCCTGTTGCTTTGTTTTCAAAAATCGCCTCATAGCGTTGAACTTTGCAATGATTTTCAAATCCCCCTTCCTCTCCATTGTTTCTGCATATTCATCTGCTGCTTGCTCAAGCGCCTTGATGCCCTCCTCCCTACGTCTTTTCTTCTTCTTCAGTTTATCTAGCTCATCCAACAGAGCCTTCCTCTTCTGGGGTTTTCTGGGCTTTTGCATTCTGCTCTTTCTCTTCTGCTAAATAAGTACTGTAGGCTGTTTTGGCACTACCAGCTGCAAGCAGCATCTTCTGGGTGATGGTCATCTTGTCCAGGCCACCAACATGTGCAACATGATCATCCACAGCACGCAGGGCAACAAACGTTTGCTCTTTCATGTTGTGCGTCATGATTTCCTTGTTGAACGAAAACCCTCTTTTAACCGTGGCTTGGCCATGAGACAGGAGCATGAGCATCTGCACCTAAGTCCAGAGCTTCTTGTATCATATCATATCATATTGATCTCGGCGCTGACGTGTAGGCCTGATGTGGCCTGTCGCCGATTCTTTTTCTTTTCGTGCCTTGTTCACAGATCTAATATCGTTTCATTTGACTGAATATTTTCATGACTGACGAAAGTTTGAAATAGCTACCCGACTTCCACCGGGTTCGATATGGTGCTAGGCATTTCAAATCTGAACATATATTTTTCCATAGCTTTATCTAGCCTGTTCTTGAACACGTTCATACTTAGAGCGCCAACGATGTCATCGGGGAGGCTGTTCCACATGTCAGTGATTTGAAGCGAGAAATTTTGTTGTGTGGAGAAGTTGCAGCGTAGTTTTTTTAGTTTATAGCTGTGGCCCCTGGTGTTGGTTCTTGTTTCAAATTCTAGTAATCCTTCAGGGACCTTGTATAAACCATGAGTATACTTGTATATTTCAATGAGGTCCCCATGCAGACGTCAATAACTGAGGCTTGGAAGCTTCATAATCTTCAATCTTTCTTCATAGGACTTGCCCTTCAAGCCTGGAATTAACCTTGTTGTACGACTTTGAACACTCTCTAGTAAATTTCTGTCCTTTTCAAATCTCGGTGACCACACGTTTCCAAACTCTAGATTTGGGCGTACGACAGCAACAAACAACTGCTTCATCTCTTCTGCATCTAGGAACTTGTATGAGAGCCTGATTAGTCCAAGAAGTTTGTTTGATGTTGAAGAGGGCCGCAGAACATTAGCTATATTATATAGTAGAATCATTCATTCATAATTGTACCTTAATGTATTTCATGTTTTATTTCATTATCTTTCGAGTGTCATGTGCATGTTATTAATCTTGTATCTTGTTTCCCTTGGTGCAATATTTAAGTAGAGTAAAAGTTACTGAGACAAAATTCTTGCAAGTCCATATGATATGCACTTTTGATTAAGCTGCACCCCTGATTGCTGAATTAGAAATTCACTGGTTGCACCTGATTCTTTTCTTACCTTCAAAAGCCTGTTTAAGACACCTTAATGCATGATTGATCTACACCTCTGCTTGGTT